GACGACGACAACGACAACGACAACGACAACGACAACGACAACGACAACGACAACGACAACGACAACGACAACGACAACGACAACGACAACGACAACGACAACTCACCAATGGCTGACACTCGTTTTGTGATGATAACTCTTTTGGATTGGCGGACCCTGAGTCCGCCCACATATTTCGTAGTGCCAAATGTAAAGGCATATACGAATGGTTGGACCGACCTGAATTCAATCGTCTTGCTCTAAGTAGAGATGTTCATCTCAACTTTGATGGAACTGGGAGAGGAAGAGGAAAGCGTCGAAAATTGCAGCAGACATTTGCATTCAAGCCTTTGCGACCTGACAACGGATACGCAGTGTGTACTATAGCTGATATACAATGTTACAAGATCCCTTTGGAGTTGGTCCTGAATGTCAATGAAATTGCCGATACGTTAATCAGCAAACTGGGGAACGACGCAGTTCTTCATAAACACAATGACAGGCGCTGGACAATCGATGGTTCAGACGTCGCTGTGTACCACCCTAAAGGTAGGCGAGTCACCATCACGACCGAGGAGACAGATAACGGCACCCTTTCACTTGTAACTACTATTCCTGGTGTGGAAGATCTCAACGATTGTTGGTCAAATTCTCCAACCAACTTATACTCTTTAGAAGCTGCAGAGATCATGGAAAAATGCCTCATATGGAATCATCAGAATGCTTTGAAGTCATGGAGTTTGGTTTGATGTTTTCTGCCTGAGATAAAGAAACTTTTGTCTTGATTAGGCTTGACTGCACTGAGTTGATTGAATCACAACCCGCATCTTATCCGCACTCTAATTAATTATATATTTAATTATTTTTTCTTGTGAGGGCGTTCCTTGTGGGCTGAGACTTTGACGACAAGGCTGCCATTCACAAAGAAATGAAGAATTTGTACGAATGTAAAGAATGCGGGAGGAAATACCTCCTCGACAACACTAACTGCCAGGGTTGCGGTCAAAACTTCTGTCCGGATTGTGCTAGATGGTGGGATAATGGAGATGAGCATTGCTACTCATTTCAAGGAGAAATGGAGAAATAAATTAAGGCTGAAGATTATCTGGTAATCGGTTAACTCCTCCTTCTTCCCTTTAAAACTCCGCAATAGTGTAACCATAGTTAGGGGTGTAGGTCTTAGGGCTAATGATGATACCTGTGCTATGTCTGTCTGTTTCTTCACATACGGTTTCAATATGACCTGTTTCTGATCCATGTTCATGGGTTTGTCCACAATACACGCATTTCACATTTGTTGTTCCTTGTTCTCTGAGAACCACCGATAGTCCGTAATGGTCTTGCAAATAGATCTGCATTTGTTGCGGGGTCATTGGGATGCCATCGGCAATGGAATTTTCTTTCGTCATTGAAACTTTAGTTTGGAAGCTTAAACTTCTCATAAAAAACAAACTTAGATGTTTTAACTAAATTTGAACTGAACTGGGAACAACCAAACATTACGTTTTTACTGTCTTCTTTAACTTCAATGGGGACAAAGAAAGGACATGGGCACAAAAGAGGCGTGAGGACGGCCTCATTTATCTCACCGGACTGTTTGAGAACAAGGCTAAATTCTCCTGTATCGCGAAGGACGAAAATGCTAAATCATTGCTGTTGCGGGGTTATTGTAACTTAAACTTGCCTTGTACAATGGAATACGCAAAGAGATTATTGGGAAAGTACAGCAGTTTGAAGCCTTCTTATTTTGGCGACATGGTGAACTTGTGTAGGTTCGTTCATGTCGATAGGAATTTAACTGTAACCGGAAGACTACCTAGGATTGGGAATGATTCAAGGACAAAATTAAAGCCATTTGCCAATGATCCTAAATTCGTTGTCAAGGTTTTGCTCAATTCAATAGACACAGATAAGAAAGAGAAGGTGGAGGTAAAATAAATGTCGTCTTTATTTTATTGAGCTTTCGGCTTTTTGCTGCCTTAGCATCATAACGTCGTCGTCGGATGAGGATCTTTTTAGAGAGGAGGACGTATGGTATATGTTTTCCTGCTAGTACGGCCTGGTCGTAGCTTTCGGGCGGACAAAGGATTTCAATCAGCTGTTTCCGTGACTCCAATGGGAGGTTTGCGTATTTTTTCATTACTTCCTTTGTATCTGATAGGATTGGTTTGTTATATTGATCCATCGATAGATTTGAGCATTGCCATGGCTTTCTTCTCATCGTAATGTTTATTCACAATCATCTTCCTTAGTTTGTCAGAAACGAAAAAAATGAGGTGGACCAAGGAATGGTCAATTGAGTGTTAACGCCGGGTGAGTTGAATAGAAGTCTATGTAAGTCGGTTTGGGTTTGAACGGGTCTTGTTTTGGTATACATGGTGCATGGAGGGGTTGGTATGCGCGAGCGTTCCGAGCGGGGTGTAAATGAATTGGCACGAAAATAATGGAAACATGAAACTTAGTTTGTTCATTTCAATATTTTTCCAAAATGGAGTTTGTAAGAGATCTCAATGATTTTGAAACCTATGGAGAATCGGTTCTGACGGATGTTGACACAGTTACGAATGAGTCCGTGACTGGGACGATTGAGTCAGATTTAGAAGGAGTCGTGGAAGATGGAGAAGACAACGAGGAATTAGTGGATGACGACGGAAGGGTGTTGGCGGCACCTGAGAAGAAAAAACGAGCGAAACTCCAGCATATATGTTTGACACTCTGGGACACTTCTGTAATTCACCGAGCGGAATTGAAACAAATGTTGAAAAAAGAAAAATGGTGTGGCTATGTCGAGGGTAAGGAGGTGTGTCCTGATACAGGAAAGTTACACTTGCATGTCTATATACAAACCCATCACTTACAGACGACGGTGCCGATGTGCAATGGCCTGGTGGTGTTTGGATTGCATCTGTTCGGTCTAAGCTCGACTATTACATCAAGGACGGGAATGACAGGAAGGCTGAATCTTCTGTGACACGAATCATAAGGGCAGTCGCACCGATCGACATGATCTTCGGAATGCTATATACGAGGAGGGTGTCCAAGATCTAAAGGAATTGAGGTACCGTTTCCCGAATCAGATGGCTGCTCCTGGAGGTGAAGCTTACACTAGAAAATTGATGAACGATGTCACACCAGTACACGAACCAGAAAGATCTGAAAGGGAGCATCTCTGGGCGAGAGAATTGAGGTGTAAGCTGATGGGGGCGAACAATGGTCGTGAGATTATCACTGTTCACAGCATGCAGACTCGCCAAGGGAAAAGTAAAATGATGGAGCGCTTGGAGTTCGAGTACAATCAACGGAGAGAAGGATCCTGTTTGATCATGACGGTCGCACCTGCTAGGGACATGATGGATACTATCAAGGATTTCAAGCATACCCTAGAGCTGTTAATCATTGAAATCCCCAAGGCGAAGGGTGAGCTGGCATTCCTTAAAGGAGCATTTGGAATGATGGAGCACATCAAGAATGGGCAAACATTTGCATCAAAATTCATGACCGAGGCAGTTCGGTTTTAAAAGAACAAAGTGAAAATCGTCGTATGTAGGAACGATTTACATAAACCTGATACACTCTACGGAGAAGATAGAGAGGCTTTTATGGATATAAGCCATGATACATGGAAGTGGGTGCCGCATATTATTTTAAAGGAAAGATGGAACGATTTACACCCCGAAGATAAGGTTTTCATAGACGAAGACGATTACGATGAGGATGGTTGGTATGTAAAATTGCATGGAAAGAGGAGGGTGGACTTTGGAGAGTAGTTCAGACGAAGGAACATGTCGAGGCAGATTGAGGAGATCGAGAATGAATAAGAGGCGAGTGTTGTTAACAATGCTAGGTGGTTGATACAACTGAAAAGAAAGTACACTGGGTCGAAAATTGCTTCATGGCTTTACCAAAAATATAAACCTATAGGAGGAGAAGAGGTTGCGATGAGTGTTACACCCGAAGAGAGACCAGTGGCCCTTACCGCTGAAGAAGAGAAGATGGTTGAAACGCTTCGGGGTATTTTAAACAAAAACAGGAGTAGAGTTTTACGTGAAATCATAAGAGGGCTGCCGCAATGCTGAAACGAAAGAGGGATCACATAGCGGAGGATGCATTGTTTGATTCGAACAAAAGGTTTATAACCGATCCTGTGAACGATGACAAACAGTTAGACCTAGACCTTAACTTTAGTAAACAACGAACAGCGAACGATGGCATGAACAGCTAATAGGATGGGATGGACCATGAACGACGGATGCGCGTCTAAATGGTCAGATGAATTGAATCAGAGGAGGTACGCTCAATCGCCGCGGCTTGAATGGGTCAGACGATGAACAGTGAACGGCATATAGAATGGGATGGAAGCTCAAACACCACGGGGCTTCAAATGGGGAAACCCTGCCCCAACACTTTCAAAAATAATAAGGAAGAGAGACCCGGGATTTGGGTCAGGGTTAAGAGGTCTGTGTAATATTGGCTTTGCTCACAGACCTCTTTATTCGCGCTTCTATGTTGGGTCAGAGGATTTTGGATGGGTCAGAGGAGTTTGGGTCAGGATCGAAAACCCGACCCATCGTTTTCCTATAGTAAAATAGTACTTTGGGTCAGGGTCAGAGGTCTGTGTAATATTAGGCAAGCCTAAATCACCTTTAGCGCACACTTGCTCTGGTGGACCCGGGGGACCGGATGAATCTCAGATGCATCTTCTGAAACTATACTAAAACAGTAGGGGGACCGGGGGACCAGTGCGGGTATTAGTAGTTTCGGTATTTGCTTCATAACCCAAACTCTATAATTTTTCCATGTCACGTGTTAGCACAGTCGCTCCTAGATTCAAATCAAGTCATGGTGGTGTGCTGACGTTAATACTGTAGAAGGCGATGGATGAAGCCGAACTTAGTTTGTTGATCTCATTATTTTCAAAATGGAGGACTTGTTTACTATTTACATCAGGACGAAAACATTGTTTGGTGATGAACCTGTGTTGAAGGACGGTACAGTGAAAGTAAATCGAAAGGAATTAATCAATTTTTGGGAGGTGACCACGCTCAACAAAACCGAGGATAAGTTAGCTGCTATTAGAGCTAAGTTAGTTGTACTGGTAGCAAACAGAGAGATTAAGCATTACGGTGATAATTTCAATGTTGTGAAGAAGGATGGGCTTACTCAGCCATCGCTTTTAGAGCTTACGGGGGTGAAGAAGACTCGAAAACATGCAATGCCCGCTCAGTCTGATCAGTATGCCAAGCATGTCAAGAATAAAACGGGAAGCAGAGCGTTGAAGGCGTTCTTGTCTTTGAATCCTATAGATAAATACATGAAGAAACCTAAATGATAATAATAATAATAATTAAAAACTATTCATTCTTAAAATAATTGCGTACCAGCTCCGTGGTGCTAGCCGGAAACTTGAGTGTGACCTGGAGTTGCTTTGTCTTGGAGTGCTTTTGAACCTTGTAGACGGTAATGGTTTCAGTCTTGGTGAATCCAAAGTCGTTTTGGATCTTTTCCTCTGCTAGCTTTGCCATGCTTTCAATAGAACACTTGTCGGGATTAAGGGGAAACGAATCGGCATGCATGAGCATCATTCTAACAGCACATTTTATCGCAGCGAATTGATTACAGAGTTTCTTGTGTTGGTCTTTACCCAGATCCTTCCACAGGTCGCTTTCCTTATCTAGAGCAAAACCAGCTGGATAGTTATCGACGAAGAATTTTGTTGTCACATCTGCAATAGAGGAGTTCTTGGTGAGACTTTTACTGGTAACAGAGAACTTCATCACACCCTTAGAAGGGGCGGGTGTAGGCTCGGGAGCGGGTGGAATGAAATGGTCTTTGAGCATTTGAAGGGTTTCGGCCATTCCCTGCAAATTTCCGTAATCATAGGATCTCCTCCATCGTTCATCACGAATGACGTCACGATGGCGGAGTTCTTGGACAATGACATGGGTCGACTGAGTTGTGGTCGCAAGGGCGTTGACTGAAAAAAGAGAAAGAGTGAGGACGGGGTGCAGGTGAAGGGGTGTTAACCGATGCGGGTCTTACATGGTCTACGAAACAACGGGGATCCATCAAGACACTGCTGCCTTTCCCTCCATATAGAGGTAGCTTCTCTATAGGAAGCCCTGGGATGTTCCGACAAAGGAAGGCATTGCGGGCGGATTAAGAGGAATTTATCCACACCAGATTTCTCTAAGGCCGGTTCAACACGGCAGACGAAGAGATGCTCACGGATGGTGTCATAGGCGTCAGATTTCTCTATGTCCTGTTCAACACGGCAGACGAAGAGATTCTCACGGATGGTGTCATAGGCGTCAGATTTCTCTATGTCGAATCGATCGTCTTCAGGGTCGTAATTTTTGAATGTAAGCTCCGGAATTGATGCTGACGGATGCCTTCTTAACACATCACAAAACTGTTCGAATCGTAAGAGCAACGACGCGGTCAACAGTTCTCTGACTCGGGGATCGCATTGTCCGGTAGTATCGTCTTCGAATAGTGCATCAGCGAAATGTTGGAGTTTCTCACGGTCACCTGAAACCAAGGTGGTTGCGATAACATCTTCAGAATCTGTGGGCGAGGGAGGAGGGGATGGGGATGAAGGTGATGCCGCAATATCATCGAATGGTGAAGGCTGACCACCGACAATGTCATCACCAATTCTGGAATGCCACCCAGCAACACATTTTCCAGCATGCCGCGAAAGAACAACCGATCATGTAATGTACTTGAGCAGGGTGTTTGCAGAACCTTTCCAACCGGATCGAAACTATTGAGGAAGGCCTGATGCAGAGTGTGATTCGGCCATGAGCTGATTGGAGCCGCGCTTGTTGCAATGTGATCTTAGCGCTTTGTTAATGGGAATCTTCAGCTCTTCCAATTCTTGTATTAGTTTATCGAAGTGGGTTTTCCAAAGGGCCGGCACAGTCGACTTGGAATTTCCACCTTTACAGGCAGCTTCGGTTTTAAAGATTCAAATGCGTGCCAGGTTTTCTCGTACACTTCTACGAGAGCTCGAGTAGAAGTGTAGTACCATGGAGGTCGGCACGCGTTTGCCTCAATAACATCGAAGCTGCTTGTAGTCTTCAGCCCTGCTATGGAGTAGTTTGAAAAGTATACTCGTTGTCACACCCAGCCATGACGAGCATATATACCAGGCTGAAATAAAAGTCCTCAAGGACTCCATTCCTGTGCAGATAGATCTGGATTTCTTGAAGAGGATTGTCCTTTTGGCGTTGCAATGCGGCCTGTAGTACCCGGTACTGATAGATGGATTTGATGACTTCGATAACAGACATTCCACTGGGAGTTAAGAGTGCGACTTCTGAACCCCTTCTACTGCAATGGAAAGTACTGTTGAGGAGGTGCCAAAATTCAGCCGCTGCAGCGGTACCTGACCATACACAACCAGTCGCAATCGCTTCATGGTCTTCTTGGTTGCTGGAAGGTTTTACTTTCTTCGCGGGAGTTCCTGAGGCCCTGTTGAATTCATGGTACAATGCCTTGATTTTATCTCGAAGTTTTCCCCATTCCTTTTCACCGAAAATAGGGATCAGGGTTTCATGCCTGAACTTTGTGGTGAAATATTCACCAACACATGAGAAATATCCATTGGCAGTCGATTCCGAAATCTTTTCCTTGCTGTTGTTGAGGTGGTTCGCTGCGGTGCATAGGTAGATGACGAAAGAGCCCATCGTCTTAGACCAGAACATATTGACATCCTTAGGAGAATTCTTGGGAGGAAGTTCAGAAACTGGGCGACATCAGTGGGTGTAATGGCTAGGAACTGGTCCTGAAAAAATGAAGAAGAGCGACCATGGTATGAGCGAGCGACAGAGTGAAATCGTGGAGCGACCGAAATGACAGATTTGGCGAAGAGGCGAAGGAGCGAAGGAGCGAAGGAGCGACGTACCTGTGTAAAGTTCTTCTTGCTATCATAGTGACGACCGTGCTTCCAACCCATAAACCTGGCAACGGCCGGCCGGTACTGCTGATCAAGTGACTTGCGCTTCCTCGCCATGGTCGACAAATCAGTGAGTAAACAAATTAGAGAGATGAGCGAAGAAACAAAATAGCGATTATGCATAGCTTTTGCACTCCATTCAAATTTATGTAGAGATTCGGTGAAGAATGAAGGATCGATCCAATGAAACTTGCCGTTGGATGCAGTCGTACCCATGATACAGGCGTTGGATAGGAGGGGATCTTCGAGGGCTTACCCTCTTTCAGTACTAAGAGAGAGGTTCCGCGTCCTTAAGTCTCTGGGTTTCACGGAAGGTTTGTGTGTGACTAGGTTGTATTTTATGCACGATTGCTAAAAATACTTAGGCGAAAAGTTGAATTTTGGGGTTGCCGATACAACCCACAGTGCTACTTGAGTAGTATCGGATACCCTCAAATGACTGGTTTTCCCCGGCAGATTACCCTCAGGAATTTAATAGTATCACCATTCCCCAATACCAGATTCCCTTACTTAGCGCTAAGTAGGGGGTGGCCGGTGCTACTATGACTAGAGGTGGGTCCCACCAACCAGTGCAATCCCCCAAAGACTGATACCCTCTACTATGCTAGTATGGTTGTATATTAGTAATACAGTAAAGGTATAACCCCTCTAACAAACCAGGAATACAACCGTGTACATGGAGTACCAGGCTCTACGTGTTACCCTGTCTTTCCTTACCTTTACGGTGTTTTGACCATTCGACCATTCTCGCTCACTGGAACATCGATACTGGTATAAACGAAGGAGGGAATCCTGCTTTGAATCGACCAAGGGAAGCAATGTCGAAGGCAACGGAATCTCGAAAACGAAGAAGAAGAAGAAGAAGTCAATCCAAGCAAAAGATCGCAAAATCACTCGAAACTCGAAACTCGAAAACTCGCAAAGTCCTGACTACTACTACTAGCTAGTAGCTACTAGTACGTGATCGGCATTGGCAGAGCGGCAAAGACAAAGTCGCTCAGATCACAAACAAGATAACAAAATACAACAAGAAACAGTAACCACAAAAGATTCTTAAGTATAAAATGACATATAAAATTTGTTTTTGCTATGCCTACAGCAGGATCGAAGTCCTCCGCCCGCTGTAGCAGCACCACCGCCGCCAGCTCCCGCAGTACCACCACCGCCGCCGCTCCCGCAGCACCACCACCAACGCCAGCTCCACCGGGCGCACCAGGAAGCGGAAGCCTTGGAGCACCACCACCCCTCGCGATCAACTGGAAGTGGTTGATCCTCCCAATATTCTTGTTGACAATGGCAATGTTGGTCGAAACATAGCCCCTCAACGAGCTGATGTCCTGTGCCAAGATCTGCTGGGCTTCCTCGATCGCCTGCTGAGTCCTATGTTGGAGAGCAAGCAATTGGTTGAGCTGTTCCATGTTGACACCACCAGGAGCACCTCCAACCAAGGGCTCAGCACCAGCTTGGACCTGGGCGATGGGAGCCAACTCAGTAATGTGCAATGCATTGGTTACCTTGTAGATTGTGAGAGGGATCTTGGCCACTGGGTTGTAGTTGGCCCCAGGATCCTCATCCAAAGTGGTTCGAAGCTGGGCATACTCCGTCTGGATGCGGTTGCGAATCTCAGCCGTCATCATATGCTCCAAGCCAGGTTCCATCGCAGCCCAAAGCAAGGCTGGACCAAGCACCATGGCGATGTTGTTGCTTGGGTCGTCAGCGAAGAAGTCACACATCTTCGGACAGACATGCTCACCGATGAACCCATGGTCCACTCCACTGTCGCCCTTGATGCTGTACTTGACGGGACCACCAACAGCGAGCGTTCCAGCAACCTTGGCGTCGGTGGGAAGCTGCTCCAAGTTGATGTACACATGGACGATGTGTCCATTCTTCTCTCCCTTCCAGCGACCCCGAGTTTCATTCTCGGACTGGGTAATCCCACACTCAGCAGCGTAGGTTGGAGGCAACTTGCGCACACTGTGGGTACCAAGGCTTCCCTGGACTTGAGCCGCAAGCTCCACGAACTCTGAGTCCTTCCAAGCCTTCTTCAAAGCCCGTTGGTACCAGGCGTTGACTTGGTCAGACTCCGTCTCAATCGTCGTCTCATCGAACTCTTCGTCGTTGTCCAGAGTTTCGATGGCGGCAAGGAACGCTTCTTCATCGTCGACACGGTAATGGCCAAACAGAAACTTGGGATCACCGTGTCCCCTCTCAAGACGAGTCTCGATCCAAATAGTCAAGACGCAAAAGTCAAGGTCAGCGGCACCCAACATGATTTGGTTCGGGCAAGCACGCTCCTCCAGGACATTCTTGCTCCAGGATACCTTGGTTTCAAGAGCGAAGTTTGGAAACTTGGAGTGGCTGCGCAGATCCAAAATCTCCATGTTGGTCAAATCATCAGTGCGGCCAATCAAGTGAAACTGAACCTTCAACATGGTTGGGATCTTGATCATCGTGTCAATATTCGCTCCTCCATCGCGTTCCACAATGCGAATGGTCTTGCGGATCCCTCTTGACATTGGATTTCCCGCCCTGCTTCCTGACCTCGGCCTTCTTCACAGCTTTGATCACTTCATTGACAACCCTGGATCGAGTGGGATTCCCAACATTGGAACCAACAGCCCATGATGCGTGGCGGTTCGGATGGAAGTGGCTGATTGCCTTCTTGTATTGTTCAAGAGTGGTAGATCTCTTGTGGGTGGGGCGGTCATTGGGCCCTGGGTTGATTTTTCCATAGGCAAGGAAGTTCAGGAACTGGGCGACATCAGTGGGTGTAATGGCTAGGAACTCCTCCTGAAGAAAAATGAAGAAGAGCGACCATGGTGTGAGCGACCGGCAGAGTAAAATCGTGGAGCGATTTGGCGAAGGAGCGAAGGAGTGACATACCTGTGTAAAGTTCTTCCTGTTATTATAGTGACGATCATGCTTCCAACCCATAAACCTGGCAACGGCCGGCCGGTACTGCTGATCAAGTGACTTGCGCTTCCTCGCCATGGTGAGCGATAACAAAAAAAAGAGCGAGAATAACAAACAAAAGAGCGAGAGCAACAAAAGAGCGAGTACAAATCGATGCATAGCTTTCGCTGTTAAAAGTGCTGGATCGAAATTTATGAGCGATTTGGAGATAATGACGAGCGAACTGACTCCATCCAACAGGAAAATCCAACGGCCAAGCCACCGTACCCGGGATACGGCAGTTGAATCAGAGGGGATCTTTGGGAGTTTACCCTCTCTCAACACAAAGAGAGAGGTTCCGGGACCATAAGTCTTCGAGTTTTGCGGAACGTTTGTGTGTGACTTGTGGTCTTTCGTACGATTGGAGTTGTATTTTGGCAAAGAAAAGTTGTATTTTGAGGCACCCGATGCAACTACCAATGCGATTCTGAGTAGTATCGGATACCCTCAAATGGCGCTCACCGAAACAACAAATTGTTGGGATTCACTACTTAAATCCTAGTCATATCTTTTGAAGCGGTACAATTATAGCGAGTGAGTGCAATTTCAGCAGTTGTGCTGAAATTACATAGTGACGCTGAAATTGCATAAGTCCTCGTGTTAATAAGCGCGATACCGGCTGAAATTTTACTAAGGCACTGAAATTGCACTCTCTAAGTGACATTTCAGCTTGAGAGTGAGATTTAAGCCAAAGACACTATTTAGATTCAATTTGAGAGGTGTTAAACAAATAAATGGTTGTTTTCGGTAAGCGCCAATGCCTGGTTTTCCCTGGCAAATTACTCTCAATGACTTATCCGTATCACCATACCCCAATAAAGGATAACCATACAGTACTTAGGCCTAAGTAGGGGCGAACTCACTACTATGACTACAGGGTAAGTCCCACCAGTCGATACAACTCCCCCTTTCCACATACCCTCGATCATGTGACTGCGGTTGAATATTAGTAATACAGTACATGTATGAGTACCGGTATGTTAGGTGATATCGTCTTTGGCACTTTGGCACCACACACCACAGTGGACAAAGTTTTCGAAGCATCTCGGACAGTCAGACTGAGTTGGGCCAGCTGTTGGGCCACAACACAACACAAAGAAAAGTTGTTAGCTGGATTTCTTCACCTTTCTGGTTGATGGCAAGACGCTGCGACCCACAAAAGCACAGCAGACGCTTCTCATTTTAACGTAACAACGAAATCGGAGGTTTTGTGGAGGTTTGAAAGTGACTGGGAAGGGAAAGCCAAGAAAATCAGATTCTGACAAGTCTTACGTGACATCGGAGCAGGCCTGACGCAAGTGGCAAAGCTTAATTGGAAGGTTTCCGTCTCACGGAAGCCTGTTTTGGCTTGCGTTGCGATTGACCGTTAATTCATTTCTCATTGAGTTTCCTTTTGTTGTTTTCAAGAATGGTTTGACAGATGTACTTTTGGTAATCATTCTACTGTGAAGCATCAGTCACTCTTAAGTAAAAATACCCAGTACGATTTCTCAGATGTGAATGTCGACTGGACTGACTGCATTTAATTAAGAATCACCTTTCCTCCGGTTCGGAAAGTCAAGATGCACCCTTAAGTTTTGAAAGCTTCAAGCTGCCGCGTACGGGTACCGGCAACTGGCATACAGTACCGGCACTAGTACCCGTACACTGCTCTAAGTACTAGTTTAGTCTAGTCTAATAAGTCGCTGTTAAAATAGTGTTCTGCTACGTAGTTTATGCTTTGAACTTTCAGGTGGGACCTTGCCAGAACGAAACAGAAGGTTGCCACACAAACTCTGCTGGGGTTGGCCGCGGGCTTGCTCCTGGAACATAATTATTTCACTTCGGTTTCACGCTCCTCCCAACAACAGAAGCAAACTGACTCACTACGAACTACAAGACCACAAGGAAACCACCAAGAGCTAGTGGCTGAAGGGATAGGAACGATAGCAGGTTATCAACAATATGGCAAGCGGTGGAGGCGACGAGAGAACCAACGCCATCCTCCTGCTTCTTCTTCAGCAGCAGCAACTTCAAGGTGGAGTGGGATCAGTGGACCAGGATGCGGTTACGAACAGCGTCCTCAGGCAGCTCTTACGGGAGCAGGAGGATACGCAACAAGCCCAGCAGCTCCAGCCGCCACAGCCGCAGCAGGTAAGCTCTGGGATCAATAGCAATGAGAGTCTAAATCAGATTATTTCTGCACTTCAAGGGCAACAACAGCAGCAACAACCGGCACCCGAACCCCTCCGACTGCTTCAGACTAACGCCACGGTGTCTCAGCAGCAACAGCAACAACAGCAGCTCCGTATCCAAAGCCTTCAGAGAGAACAGAACCTGGTAACCCAACAAAGACAGCAGATCCAAAGGAATCAGCAACAGCAGGCGGCGACTCCAGATACCAATGTCAACAACTTATTGCTTCAGCTGGCCAACGTGATCTCCAACCAGCAGCAGCAACGCCCCCAGCAAGACGACCGCAAAATGCCAGCAGTGGCTATTCCTCCCATTGGCAACCTTGAGGTATCCTCTAATGCACCAGCGGCGCAAAGCGCAGCCTTGGCAAACTTGGGGTATCAGAGTAAGTGTGTCAGAACGGATGATGGAGTGATGGTACTCCCATAACGGACGTATGGTATATACACAAGCCGACGCTAACCGATTATCGGTTCGTACGATCACATGGCCTCGTACGGTATGTATACATACAGCGCCCAGGCAAGGACCACCCCCCGCTATGGCACAGATGCCGCCCGCGCAACCGGTGCAATCAGATGGCCTGGCACAGTTGCTTCAGCAGTTCTTGCAGCAACAGGGCGGTCAAAGCTCTACCACTGTAGCAGGTACGCGTACAATTGTGCTCCTATTCGCTGCGATCATTGTCTCTGCCCCTATGGCTTCTTGGAAGTCTAACATGCAATTGGTGTAGCCCAAGCTCCTGTGGCCACCATTCCCCAGCAGGTATCGTCATATCCCCAACTCACCACATCAATGAGCAGTACTCCTGTCCAATCAAGCACCATTTCGGCTGGAAGCAGCTCGGCGCCAGCGCAGGGAGGAATTCCGAACCACAGCAGTAGTGGCCCGAACCTTCAGTTGGCCCTACAGGCTTTACATCAAGGAAGTGGCAATACAGAACTCATGGCAAAGGCCGCCAATCTCATCGCCACGCACATGCTGCAGCAATCTCAGCAACAGCCAGGCCAGGTAACATCCAATCAAATACAGCAGGCCTTACACTACGTTGGATCGTCATCCGTGTCCACCGTCACGAGTCCTCCCGAAAACAGAAACCACGCGATCAGTAGCGGGAGTTCCAATTCCACGGGGAGTGGTGGCTGCGGCGGCCAACAGAATCCCGCGAACATCAGCTCTCATCCCATGGAAGACATTGAGTATCCCGGGCAGCACGATGTCATGTTCGGACGTGGTGGTGGCGCTTCCAATCACATCGGGTATGTATTCATTTCTTGGGGTCGTCGTCCAAAAGGTTGCTTCCTTCAAGTGCTCAAGTTTGCCATTCTACAACGTCCTGTAGGAATATCAACTTTCGACTCATGGTAGAAAATTACAAGGATAGATATGCACAGGCGTCAAAGCTCGACAAACCAAAGGTTGCCGATGACGTCGTGAGGCATTGGCGAGAAAAGAACCCTTCCGGACGCTTCTTAACCCTTACCGACCCCGAGGAGGGCACCATGAGCAAGTGGCACGATGTTGGAGACGTGCGGGCTCGAAGAAAGGTAGCTCAGGCCTTGCGTGAAAAGCATGGTCGATGTCGTGAAGAATCTCATGACGAGGAAGAACAAGGCCCCAGTACCAAGAGGCGTGGGTAAACGGCTTGGACAGGGAAGAGCAAGTCAAGTCAAGCGATCTTACATATGAATGCATCTTCACAAAGCGTCAGGACGTTTCTCCTGGTTGCCGCCCTATCAGATGTGAATCCAGACATGAATGGTATAGAATTGTTGGGGCGCTGTTCGTGTTGGTGCTACCGGTAGGCTGTAGGTGTAACGTTCCTCTCCGCCACTAGCTAGAGTACACGTTCTGCATAGTAATGTTTCAACTCTGCCTCTAATAGCAGCTAGATTGCGGAAGAGTGCGTTCACAAGCAAGCTCGGAGAAGCCAAGAAGTTGTGAGGAACCAAGTAACACATAAACTCCTGCGAAATGTGGCTGGCGGTATCGTAGAGTTCATCCACTTGAAGAGCCTCACACTGAAAACTGAAATCAACGAGATTTCATACGATCTATGATTGGTCAAAAGCCAACTCCCCCAAATAAAGGCAATGTTGTCGGTTGGCATAACTTGAAGAGCTAGATCCATAGCACTACCCGTACTTGGCCAAGCAAGTTGCAAAGACCTCTGAATTCAGCTTCGAAAAGACCTGACTCTGTGAAAAAGTTTGAAAGCATTTGTGGGCTAGCTCCATATGCTCCTTTGTTTGATCTAGCTCCTGGATTGTTGCTTTGTAGTCCTCCGCGGTTTGGAACATGTGCTTGGCAGCCTGTAGACTGGAACAGCCTCCATCAATCGCGTCCTGAGGGATGCTTTCAAAGCCAAAGTACTGTACTGTAACTCTGTTTTGATTGCAGCCACGAGGATGCCAAGACCCACATGCACCTTTTTGTCTCTCATGTAGTCCAACACGTACTGAAAGCGAAGACCCGACCGATCAATGAAGATTTCTTGTTCATCTCTTTGCCAAGTCTCGGATACGAGACGAGCCAGCATTGTGTCGGGATATTGTTCAATCAAGGACCTGGAAACTTCATATTTGCTACCACCCACATTGAGCTCGGCCGTCTTGGTTGAGCTTGTTGTGGCCATGTTGCTGTTGTTGCCAAGGGTTGGCTCAAATAATGCGCCAGGAAGCAGTCTGACGTTGGTTGCAACCGGATCACCCGAGAGGGACGGAGCGGGTATGGCTTAGAAGGCGTCAACGTGTCATTCTTGTTGGTTGGATTGTCAGTTCCTCGCTACACAGCGCTCTCGCTTGTTTGTGTAGCAGTCTTGTCGAGTCGAGTCATCCGATGGATCATATACACTCCATGTTGCCAAAGCTCTTGCCGTTTCGCCCCATACAAGGAGCGCCAACGCCAAGGCTACAAGTAATTCTTGCATGCACGTGCTACATAACGTACCTACCTAACTACAGTACCGATGTGTGCAAGTTAAAGGAAGCATTATGAACGTTACTAGAGTAGAAGGCTAGCTGCCAGCTGGAAGTCAACCAGAGGGAGATGCCAAGGCAAAGAAGAAGAACCGTCGTAGCAAGGAGAAACCCAAGGAGAAGCACTCCGGATCGTCCTGTGCCAGCATCACGGCATCCTTAGCTGCACTATAGTGCCGTGCGGACATGGGATGCAAGGTGACGGACACTGGACTGGGGAACATGGCGAGGGCCGCTTCTTCGTCATACTCTGCCTCGGTGTGATCCTCATCGTCGTTGCAGTCGTAGTAGCAATCATCTGTGGGATTGCGTGGTTCGTCGCGTTCGACCTCTGTCGTCGTCGTGCTTGGTAGCAACGGTGGTTGTTCGGCTCGTTGTTGACTTTGTTCGGCGGCGTATTGGAGTTTGCACAGTTGCAACTGAAGGGACGGTAGTTTGTCGTGCAGACTTGGAGGAAGTGTGGCGATTTGCTGTACCAACTGCTGCTGCCATTGTTGTACTATGACGCCACCATCGTGCAAATTGCATTCCAAGGCATTCCAGAGCGCCGCCAATGCGATTTCGGAAGGCTTGGACTGTACGAGTTTGTAATCCATGACGGCCAATTCGACCTGATATTGGGCATGTTCAAAGAGCATATCAAAGACTTCAGATTCGGCCAAGACGCGTCCGTCCATTTGTAGAATGGAAAGGTAGAGTTGGACAAACTGGATGGGTGTCGGTCCGTGCGCAATGCGCCATTGCAATGTGGCCAAAATGGTTCGTTCCATGTCCAGAATATCGTCCGCACTAAATGCCCCTTGACTGAGATCGGCCAAGGACTGCACATCCATACTGACGGGTTCCAGAACTTTGACGGCAATGAATAGGGAGGTCGAAGCTACCAGTTGATAGTCGGCCGTGGTGAATTCCATAAGTGGACTTTGTTGAGAGGAGCTGAGATAGCGGTCCATGAGATTCCAAACGGCATAGGACACTGTCTCTCGACGAAAGTGACAGTAATCACCAATCTCATAGAGAAGCTCGACCATGCTCTGCCGTGTCCTTTCGTTCATGGCAGGATGACGAGAACGCGTGTTGTTGTTGTTGTTGTTGTTGGAATAATACAATGCCATGTAATCGTTTCGTTGGTAGGTCGAAGATTCGAGCTGGAACAACGTCTCCAGTTGATCCATTACCTGCTCCAACGTCGTCGAGGAAGGGAGCCACATGAACTCAGAGAAAGGACGAGCGCAAAGATGGATGGGGCGCTTCATTGTGACTTGACTGACAATTTTTCTTGCTCGATGCAGTCTGGCTGTCCGAAAGCACACGCTAGCTAGATAGATAGCTGGCTGGCTAGACGCTGTAGCTGAAAACCCTGATACAGTAAGAACACGGCCAACACTCTCTCCGATGGATTGAATACGTTGGATACGGTCACTCGGATGGGATAACTGGATGCAGGATATGATGAGATTGATGATGGAATGCTACCGCTAGCTACCGGTAGGGTGGCATGAGGAAGAGGAAAACGAAAAACAAAACTGGCAAAGAAGAAACAAATAAATGTTTCGCTTCTGAGTCGAGTCACGAGAAGACATCCGGTGAAGCACCGCTCGGGACTGCATTTTACCAGTATAAAAACAAAGAGTAGGAGTGAATGAGTGAACGGAGGACTGACGAACAGTAAGATTTGACGTGGTGAGCTACCATGACTCGTGACCGAAGCTTAGTATCAACAACGAGTACATTAGAAACTTTACACTAGATCAATCAGTACTACCGGTCCTACCTAGTCAGTCGATTCGCGACAAGACTCAGGAACCAAAGCATTAAAGAAAAGAAGCTGATTTAAAACTGAAAAAGTCACAAACTCAGTAAGCTTTAACGGAATCTCACTTCGAATGAGATGCTCAAAACTGATAGTGACTGAAGATTCAATCACGGTTCAAATACTTAGGCAAACACTTCACCTAGCGGCAGGACTAGTAGGTCGCACCAGGTCACCCACTTTATCCACCGACGATGCGATGCTCTCAACCGCTCGAACATATGAATAAGTAGAAATCGCTCCAAGGCAAGAGGGCCATTATCGTAAGCGACAAACAAAAATATAACCACTGTCGCGCGAAACTGGCTGCCAATCATTCACAGAACCGCTCGAGCACAGAGAGACAACATCCAACAAAAGCTCACAATTTGGATTCCTCCACAAACCAAAAGCAGCAAAAGCCAAAAGCAGCTCCAAAAGCAAGTTTCTTTGTCCTCAACAAACTACCAACAACCATGAAGTTCTCATCCTCAATCCTCTTTGCTGCATCCTTTTTGGGCTTCCTTGGAACAACCATTGGTCATGGTGTTCAGATCTACACCTGCATCAGTCCTGCCGGAGATCTCCGTGTGCTCATTGAGCACTGGCATCAAACCACCGCTCCTGCTGTAAGTCCAAGTCACACCATCCAGGTCCAAAAGAACAATGACCCTTCCGTGGCTATTCAATACGTTGGAGACAACGTTAATGTTGATGAGAGTGCCCTTGGATATCTGTGCAAAGACAACACCCTCCCTATGCATGTTGTTAGCTGTGGATCGGCGGATCAGTACAATGATTGGGCCTGGTTTGACTTCCCAAGCCCTGACTGTAATGCTCCATCGGATGCCTACACCATCCTTCAAGGAAACTCTGTTGTGTTCCGGGAACAATGTAGTGCCCTCTACCCCCAGACCTTCTCAATCTCTGGCGTTTGTGCTGCAGCTGGTATCCCCACCACTGGACAGATTGCTGGTGATCCCCACATCCAAACTTGGGACAAGAAGTGGTATGACTTCCATGGACAGTGTGATCTTGTCTTCCTTGAGAACAAGGACTTCAACAATGGCCAAGGCATGGATATCCACGTCAGGACCACAGCTCGCTACCAGTACTCCTACATTGAAGCTGCTGCCTTGCGCATTGGAGATGATGTCCTGCAAGTCAGCTCCCATGGAAATACTTTTTGAATGGTATTGGACAGGCCTCCATGCCAGCCACTCTTGGAGGCCACAATGTGACTTATTCTGTTGATGAAAACAAGAAGCACAAATTCATCACTCACCTTGCAGATGGAAGGAATATTGTCATCCAGACTTTCAAGGACTGGGTCAATGTCAAGATGGATGCCGCTGATATCAAGCACTACGGAAACAGCAAGGGTCTTCTTGGTGCATACCCCACTGGCAACTGGTTGGGCCGCAACAACACTGAATTCACTGATGCCAATGAGTTTGGACAGGAATGGCAAGGTAAGTTTGATTCTCTTCATCCATGATTCTTGATCTCAGAGAACCCATAACTCACCCTACACCTTACACCCCCGGTAGTCCGTGACACTGATGTCAAGCTTTTCTCGGTCAACCGTGAACCCCAGTTCCCCCAGACGTGTGTCATGCCCGGCCCCAAGAGTTATGCTCGCCGACTTGGAGAGTCTATTGCCAGGGCCACTGCTGAGAAGGTCTGTGAGCACTGGGCTGATGATGAGAAGGACCTCTGTATCTTTGATGTCATGGCCTCTGGTGACTTGGACCATGCTGCTGCTGGAGCTTTCTAAAGAAAGCAAGCATTGCTTTTGTGTTCACTGTGCGTACATTTGGCTGGATTGGTTGGGAAGGAGTTCGGTGGCATGGCACCTTGACACCTTGACGCACCACCCAAACTAAGATGGCTGCTGAACCACATTTGGACTATTCCTTACAAATCATGGTGGATCTGACTCGAGCAGATTCTGTTGCCATTACATTTAAAACAAATCAATCAAAAGCACCAGCCTTCAAATTAAGGTGGTTTACAGATAACATAACAAGATAACATTTACTAGTAAGAATTTAGGTTCCAATACTGGGCTTCCAACCGCAATCAGATAGCTACCGGTAGCTAGCAAGTGTAGATTCTGCTGGGAGGACATAAAGTGGTTGGTCTTGAACATGAATTATCAATGACCTTGTAGAATAACAATCAGGGAGTTGGCTTTGATCTACCGATTTAGGTTCTTCCTTAGTACAATGCTGCAGGGGATACTTTGTGAAGCATCCAGCCAGATGCTAGCTAGAGTAGCAAGGCACAAGATCAGCATGTTCAACAGCCCATCAAACTGCTTGTTGGTGTCTCGGTTGATATGTTTGGGTTCTGTCAAATTGCCGCATCAGCCAGGCAAATCACCATCTTTTCACGACAGCTTCAACATGTGAGATCTCCAACTTTTTTGGCCTGCAGGTGGTTCGACTGTACGACTTGTATGACTCGGTCATAAATGAGTCATAAACACCTGTAAAAGACTAACTCTGAATCAATCAATGACCAAGTCATTATGGAAGCCGCCAGCAGCTATCATCCGGTACAGTCGTACCTCGCCAGCCAGCTGTACTAGTAGCGGTCACGAAAGGCTGTGTGGGCGTCGCGTCTAGCTAGCTAGCTAGTACCGGTAGCTACCGGTAGCCGAATGTTGTGGGGACGGACTTGACGCTTTTGCCTTCGTATCGGTCGCATGTAGGCTGGGCAAATGTCACCCTTTTTCGCTAAAGACGACTATTGATGCTTTGGTTGCTTCCTGGCTGGCTGGAAGTTGGTCGTCCTTGACTGGCTCGTTCCTCCTCAGAGTAGCTACATGTACATCTGACTTTGTACCGTACCGTACACCAGGAATTTGCTTTTACGAGATGTTCATCAATTTGACCGGCGGGAAGCAAAAGAGCTAGACTTTCATAGAGAAGCAGCCAAAGGCCATTGGAGCGAGAGGTAGACCGTAAAAGCTCACAGCAGGCTGGAGATGGAACCGAACCCAAGCCAAAAGCTTACGGTTCTTTGTTGGCTGGTGGAGGCATCAGAGGCGACAATAAGCCAAAGAAACGGCTCTAGCTAAAGTTAGCAACTAGCTAGCAAGCAAAGTGGGACAGAGCTTCCTTCGGCGGGCCCGTGGCCAGCATCTACGTCGTTGGTGCTATGAAAGAGCCTGCATCTTTTTGGCAACGCTAAGAGTTTGCAAGAAAGCATCTGCTGGAGAGGGTTGCGTCCCATCTGGACCCTCTTCCTAACGTGATACGTTTCAGTGAGAGCTCTATCGAAGAGAAACATCGCGTCTTTTGGAGTGCTGGAGAGAGTGAGGAAAGGAAGAGATCGTGTAAGACTTTCAAAGAAAGACTCTTATGGTTCCGGCCACGAATGCACCATTTATCAAAGAACGACGTAGATGCCAGAGGTCACTGGTTGTCAGGAGCATGTCAGAGTCATGCTGGAGCCAAGCGGGAAAAGCGAATGCCGTGTTCCTGTGTCCGAGCAGCACTGTGACTGTTTACGTAGCCCAAGTACCAGACAATACCGTATGCCAGCTAGCTAGACGTAATTACCGTAACTCGAGATGTCTCGCTGGCTACATTATTCACTTACAGAACAGTTTCAGTTGCTGCTCCCGCACCGGCAATAACCCCGCCTACCACCACTTGAAGCTTCTTTCGTAACCATTGCGTCTGTGATTTGAAACGGTCAGTTCCTGCCATTTGAGCTCATTATTTTCGTTCATTCCCGACAAAAATTCCCTGAAACTGCACAAACAGTTGCAACCACAAAAAGCGTGATTCGTTACGGTAGTTGGTTATCTACTTGCTGTTGATTGATTGTTTGTTATCAAGCAAGCAAGCAAGTCGTCAACAAGCAAGCAAAGTGTCGTTCAACCATCCATTCACAGACGGCTTCAACGCAACAAAGAGAGTTCGTTTCTACCATCCATCTGATTAACTCCCTCCTTCCTTTGTCACGACAAAACTACCAGGAACATCCCACAAGTTCCACAAACCACAACTCCACAAACCAACATCAATAGTTAGTTAGATAGATTCAATTCATATCATCATCATGTCTCCATACACCACTACTGTCATCCACACATCCCAGGTCGCCAATGAACTGGAAGTGATGCGCTGTCTTCCTACTGACCAAGATGGCATGGACTTTCCAGCTGCCGCACGACATTTTCTGTATTCTCTTCCTGGCAACCGTGCCTGCGTCGATTGCGGAGGCGCCAATCCTCAATGGGCATCCGTGAGCTTTGGAACCCTCCTTTGTCTGCAATGCAGTGGAAACCATCGAGGAATGGGCGTCAAGACGAGTCGCGTTCGGTCGGTCGAAATGGATACCTGGTCGCACACACAAGTGCTGGCCATGTTGGAAGGTGGCAACTTTCAATTGCAACAATTCTTTGAACGTCATCGCATGGGGAATGCCACCAAAATGGCACAAAAACGTCAACAACGCTATCACACCAAGGCGGCAGCCTTTTATCGCGTTCATTTGGCCAAGCATGCACAAGCTGTAGCGGATGCCGGTGTCTACGAAGGACGCGAAGCGACCCGACAAAAACATTACGGTAACAATACTGGCAGTGCTGCTAGTACGGCGGCCGCTGTAGAGTCGTGTTGTGCGGCCGCGACGGCAAACCGATCGGAACAACCTCGGCGTCGATCCCTTGCCGTGGTGCAATAATATATTGCATGTATATACCAAGACACACAAACTTTCTGTGTTGTTCTGGGCGAGGGTGTCTGTTACCCGCCCACACCTATAAGACCACATTCACAATCCCTAAAACGAATAGATCACGTTATCATCAAAATAGAAAAAGGTATGCTAGTAGCTAGCTAGCATGTCATGATACGTGTGGTAAGAACCGTTTGCAGAAGACAGATACCCGTATCGGTACCGCTGCCCACCGGTACCCCGCATAGGCCTACCATACAGCAGCTGGCTAGCTAGCCATAAGCCGGCACCTAGATGTCAGCCGCAGTGCTTGGCGTGAAACAACTATCGGAGTGCACGTGGCGTCAGGAGTGAAGCAATTCTGACATCGAGCATGCGGAACCATTCGGAGGAGACCTTAGCTACTAGCTAGAGAGGGAAAAGGAAACGGTAGATCACTCCAAAAGATGATGCATGGGGCTCTGCCGTGGACGTCATTACTGGTTGGCCCCAGGGCATTGATTCGGTCAGATTCCAAAGAGTGCGTTGTGGGCTGAGCAAGTCCATCGCTCCACGCCGTTAACTTGCAGCAGGTCTCTATAGTTTTCGACAAACAAGGTACCTGGTTCCGGTATCGTCGTTGCAATCTGCTGGACCAGAAACAAAGTTCAGCTTACCTCGCCCAGCAAACCATCCAGACCCATTCATTCTTCATGTTGCATTACCGTACAGGAGCTTCAAGAAAGTCACGAATCTCAGCATCATGGGTGGCATCTGCAATCTGCTGGTTGTTGTAAAGAATAACGATGTCTTTAGGTAATCCATACTCCTTGTTGTATCAGACGCCATTGATCTGAACATTGGAGCCAAAGACAGCTCCGGTTCCTTCTAAAGGATAGTTCGTCCATGGTTTGAAGGGGAGGAATCGATTCGATTCATTCTCTTACAGGAAATATCAATTTTCTCTTTCCACCTAACTTTTTACTTCTTCTAGCTAGTCTACATGTAATAAATATCTGGATAATTTTGACCTCGAAAAAGCAAAAAAACGTTTCATAAAAGAACTCTAACCTTAGGATCATGGGTCGTGCCTTCGGTTGGACCATTGCACCAAGGGTACCACGGTAGAGATGAAGGCAACACCACAGCTAGCTGGCATACCACTTCCCATTGATTGACAAACCGAACAAAACAACTAAATAGTTGAGAAGTAATCATCATTAGTAATCATCATTAATAAATGTTTGTGTGCTCCAGCTCACTGAAGTACTTGAGTAGTCCACTTCTACATTCGTCATTGGGCAAATCAGTCTCATTTAGTGCTGCTAGAGACTCTGGTACTAGATCATCTTGTTCTGATGCATTATTACCTGGCTCATAACACCAATCAGACTTGATGTCATTCTTCACTAAATAGTTGTGAAGGACCACTCCTCCACGAACATACCGGATGATTCGTTTCAGATCTTTCTTCTTCCCGAGTTTCATGCGAATGCTTTTGAAGAAAGGGAAGCGACCCTTCAGAGTACCAATACAATGTTCTGATTTAACTCGGGGAGATGCCAACATTGTATTGAATTCAGTATGGATTCGTGACATGATTTGGCCAGGAGGGGCTTTGAAAGGAGGAACCATGTGTGGTCCAGGAGTGAATGCAGAATCACCTAACAAGTATTCATTGCCAGCAAAGTGATGGTGGCTCTCAGTATAGAGCTTGCATGTTCTCCAAACTCGATTATCATGTACAGAACCAGGCCATCCAACATGGTAATATAAAATTCTTCCCTGGTCATCACAGACTGTAAGCATAACAATAGCATAAGATCTCTCTGTACTACTAGTAGAAGAAAGATCCATGAAGAAGTGGTCTAGCTGCCAGTGGTAACACTGTGCCATCAATCAATCCAACGCAATTCGGAACATGCCACTTCATTTCAATTCTATTGGCAATGGATTTGCGTTCCTCTGGTGTTGGCCAATAATGCGTCTCCTTTTCGAGGAGTGAAAGCAGTGCCTCTAGTGCATTCGTTCTGCAGTCATGGATTGTTCCGGCGCCAACCCCAAAAAAGCGAGCCAAATTAGGATTGGATGCACCATCTCCTTCGGAACCAAAGTACTTCAAAAGAACTAGTAGTTGGTGAGAAGCCGGCTTTGGTTTCGGACCCTTTCCAGAGCTGGCTCGGTGGAATACTCCATGATCTTTTAGGAGATGGACCAACTCCCAGAATGCCGAACGTGGAATCCTGAAATGACACAAGAATGCACTTTCGGTCAAGGCATTATCCTTACTGCCTTCATCGGTAAGATAGATGTGAAACTTGGGTGTTCGGTTCCTGTTGTATTCTCCTCTCACAAAGTATCGATTGGACTCGACCTTTTTCCTCAAGAACTGACACTTGTACAAAACATCGAACTGCTGACTATTATCCACGCCTAGTAGATGAAGTACATGAACTTGCTTGGCTAAGATAGCAATCAAGCCATCAAGGCGCTTGAGCGCCAGTTGTTTGGCTGACCTTCGTGGCATGTGGGCATGTGTTGAGGTGGGTTGACCTTTGAATTCTTTGTGATTTGTGAGTTTGTGAGCTGATGAGATAATAACATGACCCCGACCCTCCACTCCGGCTCTTCCGAATGGCTGACAGCTCTGTTGGATTGATTCTCAGATTTCCCGCCAGCCACAAATCACAAGTCCCAAGCTGCAGCTGTAATAAAATCCTTTGATGAGGACGGTTGCTGCCTCCCTGATCGATCCAATACATGTACAATGGACAATAATGCGTTTAAAGACTTGGTTCGTTCCAAAGTGAAGAGCACGAAGCAAATCGCTCGCGAAGCTGTGGAACAAGCCTTTGCCAAGAAGAACAAGACACGCAAACGACGACGACGTGATGACGATGATTTGGATTCGTCCGACAGTGACACCGAGAAAGGCAAAAAATCCAAAAAGGGAAAGTACAAGAGCAATAGGAAAGAAGATGAAGATGACGATGAAAAATACGCAACCGCAACCAAGGAACACTATCGTGATCGCGCCCAAGAGCGTCGAGAAGGCAAGAATGTCGATTATCAAGAGTCACAAGTGCTCTTGGAAACGGTCAAGAAACAGGCATCCGCGTCGGAAGGATTGGATGAGACGGAGCTTTCCAAATTCTTGGGAGGGGATGAAGCTCATACTCATCTGGTCAAGGGATTGGATGTGGCACTGGCACAAACCGTGCGGCAGAAAATGCAAGAACAACAAGAAGGAACGGTTGATAGAGGCGAAGAAGAGGATGAACAAGACACTGGCAAACAACACCAACCGAAATCCATTGACACCAAAGACGGTGCACGCGAGTACGTGTTGTCGTCGTCGTCACAACCAGCGGGTCGGCTGTCGGCATTGGGACGATCCGTATTGCCGTACTTGCAGCACAAGTTGCAACCACAAGACCCCAAAACCGTGACGGGCGCTGGAGCTGCTATTCACCGTTCCCAACTCGTCTTTTGCGTCGATTGGAATCCTCAGAATTTGGCATTGTCGTGGGAGGTTCCCAGTGAGAAGAGTCGAGCCGCAGCCACCGTTCAGGCCACACATCATGGCACGGGCTTGACCAAGGCATCTCCACTCACACGAGAATTGATCCATCAAATGAAGAAACGATTTCAGAAATCGAACAATGGTATTACCATTATTGCAACCGCAGCTGCCAAAGAACAACAAGGCAGTGGCCCGAAAACAGTCGTGGAGAATGATGATAGTAGCGACGATGATATATTTCCAGCAACCGGAGATTGACCTTCTCACTCACTCACTCACCGAAACGACAACCACATGATTTGTTTTCACTAGCAGTGCTGTCCAATCCACAATTGAAGGTAGGTCTGCATTGTGCGTTGTCTACTATACAACCGAATGCTTGGAAAAAGGACCAGCGGCTGCTCTGAGAAGGAGGAACTTTCCAATTTACAACACAATACACAATGATAGGTCGTCAGTGTATGATTGGCGAGAAAATGGTACTGACTCAAATGCAGCCGCTCTTTGGATTTTGCCTTTTTCTGCTCTTCTTGTTTGTTTGGAGTTCATTGTATAGAACGAGCGATGCTAACGATTGCGTCACTTTTTCTTTCTTTCGGCTTTCGGACCGCGCAGGTACTGTGGAACGGAACGATCAGTCACATGATTCTGAAATGTAAACAAGGGGAGGGGGTTATGGAGTGATGGAGTCTAAGGGTTGCGTCGCCACTTTGGAAGGAACCATGAGGGATCCTGGGGCCTTTCGTTTCGTTTTTATTTTAACGAAGAAGTAACGAGTTCTGGAGGTAGTCAGAATGGAAGGGTCAGTTACTTTATTGGGCAAACTTCACCTTTAGGCTGTTTCTTTTGCTAGCTTTGTCTCTTTGTTTTGTATTGATCGCCTTAGCAGCACAATCATTGATGATGCAAGGACTAGACTCATGGAAACCACGGACTGATGTTGACCCGTGGCTCTAGCCAGCAATCTGACGGCGGCCTTGAGAGATGCTCCAATGCCTGTGAGGACCGCGCCTATTATTGTGAGCTGCAGAGCGCGATCGAGTCGTTTCTTTCGTTGTATTTGCTTGAATCCCATTCCCTTCTTCTGAAACATTCCAAACATGTTGGGACCAAACTATTTATTCGAAAAAGGAACAATAATCCATGAGCACGCGGATCCGCTTTTGACCCAACCCAAAGACACTTCGCTGTACCATACTTACGATCTGAGGGGCCACCTTATGAAAGATTCCATCGAGAATCAAGGGTAGCAAAAAGTTGACCAAAAACCACTTCCCAGGCCGATCCATGTTTCTTGATATTGTCACCAGTGCTGCGGCATCACCAGCTCGACGATCCGAGAAGGCTTTGACCGCTTTGGGAATGTCCTTGTCGCAATCATCGAGAAGCTCTGACAACACTTGTACGTCTTCCAGAGCAGTGTTGGCACCCAGACCATAATACGGTTTGACAGTATGAGCCGCATCGCCCAGTACCATAGTTCGTTGTCCCAAACGCAGTCGTGGTCCGACAAACCGAAAGACGGGAAGCTTGGACGCTGGCTTTTGCGCGATATTGGCAATTTCCTCGTCGTCAAGAAGTGCTCCAAATTGTGGAAATTCCTCGTCAAAGAACTTTCGCAATAAAGCTGGTGGCGTGTTGGGTTGTGCCAGTTCATCGTCCGGTTTCATCAGCAACAAGGCACATAGGTTGCCCTTGTCATCCGAAGGGAGGGCTTCCAAAGTGACGCGGCTGTCTTTGGAGCGGGCCGAGTAGTTGAGTCCACGCGGCCAATCCTTGGGCAACAAGATTGGCACTGATTTATACACACGTGGATTATCGTCATTGAAACTAGTGACACGGAAAGGCCGTTCGGCAAAGAGACGTCGTAGTGGATTGTAGCTGTTGTATCGTTCTCTATCGGCATCTTCCATGGCTTTTGCCACTGTCCGGGCAGCACCATCTGCTCCAATGAGGAAATCAGTCGTCACCATGGAAGAACCCTCGGCATCACAAAGCTGTTCTGCGTCCTGTGACGCTGCGTAGGCCGCAACCGGTATCGTCGGACCGTCCACAATATCTTGACAAGGAGAGATTCGTACTTTGACAGCTTCTTCTGCATTGTCGTTGTCGACTCCAAAGCTGACAGGATCGACCTGGAACCCATAGAGAAGGTCAATAGTGGCTCCTTTCCCTTCTGTGTACTCCCGAACCAAATGTTCGTGCAGAACACCCACCAATTTATCCCGGGCCAGCACTCGACTCGGTGGATCTTTCGTGGCGATGGTGGTTCTGCCATCTTCCACTTTGGTCATTCCTGGCTGCCAATCTCGTCGGCCTAGATTTTCCACAGACGCTTTGAAAAAGTCCTCGAGGACACCAAATTTCTTCAGAGCTGATTGGCCTCGATGTCCAATTCCCAACAAATAGAATCGCGCGATATCGCTCCAAACCGTCTCGTCCGATGGCGACGGTGGAATGGCTGCCCGTTGTTCACAGACGGCAATCTTGTAGGAGGGACCAAACTTTTGCGAGAGCATAATGGCAGCCAACAATCCAGCCGGCCCTCCCCCGCAGATAATGGCGTCGTAGTGTCGATATGATGGCTTGTCTGGGAAACCGGTGGACTTATCGTCAGCAGCAGAGGGTATTGTGCTGTCTACCGGTACGGAGGCATCCAATGATGATTGTTGTCTCGTGTGGGTGCTGCTTGGAAATGTTCTGAATCTGCCGCCCCCAAGGAGTTTCGCTCCACGGGTAGCCGATACCACCGCCGTACTAAAGGCACTGCATGTTGGGGTACCAAGAACTACAAGCCAAAGGAGAGTGGACCAACGCACAGCCTTCATCATGGTAACAATAGCCTTCAAGTTGGAAGAGATTGCAGAGGTAGAGAAAGCAACAGGTGTGGAGGTGGTTGCTTGCTTTTTGGAGTGTGTTACGAGCGGAATTTATTTGAGAGATTGGAAAAACTGAGTCACTCCGTGAAATGACGTCATCCGTATCCAGAATCTTTGTTTCTCAAATCAAGTTGAGCCAGAGTCGAGGCGGCTGTTCAGACCATGCGATGCCAGGGCACCAGGTACCGTACGCAGCCAGCATCAGCAAAGCTTCGGACGCTAGCTACGAGTACCTAAAAGTAGCCCTTTGCTTGGTGATGGAGGAGCAAATTGCGCCACTTGAAGTACTTGAAGGAATCCGTTAACGAAGAACATTCCTATAGTACAGTACTGTGCCATACTGCAGGAACTCAAACACCACGTATCATCTGGACGGTAAGCTGCTGTGAGCATACAGATGCAAGAGTCAAGAAAATCCAATTTACTTGACCCCGCAGTGTTGCGCCTCTGATTTTTGCTCCCGTAGCTCGCTTTTCTACCTTTTGTGTTTGGTTGGTGATTTGCTCCTGTTCCTGTTGTTCGCTTTCTTTGTGTCCTCCTTCTCCTTTTTGTCGTGTTTGAGTGGTGACTTGCTCCGGTTCTTCTTGCTGTTCTTCTTATTCTCTTCCTGCTTGTCTCCTTGGTTGTTTGGATCATACTCTAGTACAGTAAAATATGCTGCTTCTAGAGCATTGTCAATGCTGTTCTCTATGACCTCATGCTTCGCAGTTTTCAATTTGCACTTCTTTCTGATTTTTGCAAACATCTTGTTGGCTTCATACTCTGTGATGAGATCGCCATGATCAACTGTTGTCAAGTATTTCAAGAGAGGTTTGAAGAGGCGTGCCAGTGGTGAAATGGCTCTCTGGTAAGCCTGAGTAATATATACTTTGCATTTCTCTGGCTTGCCCCAATCATCCACCAACATCTTCAAAACATCAATCCTCTTGGGTAGCACAGCAAACGTACCAGAAAACATGATAGCATCAAACTTTACTTCTTTTTCTTGGCTCTTGAAGCCAACCTGGGAACCGTGTGGGAGCACAATTTGACCCTTCAGGTCATTCATTAGGCGCACATCTTGTCTGTAGATACGAATTTGGTTTTCGATCGAGGCATATCCAACGTTGAATTTGGCGGCTTTCACATACCCATCATCATTGTCGATTCCAATTACACGAATATTCTTCTTTTGCAACAAAGCCCGATGCTTGACCAGAGCGCCTGATATGGTTTCAGAACACAAAATACATGAGCGAAAGAATGGAAGAAAACCTTGGCGTCAGACATTACTCACTGGCAGTTCCAACTCCAACGTCAAGGACAACCGATCCTTCGTCTAATTCTTCCAACATCACTTCGTACCATGTGGAGGTCACACGGACGATACAGAAATCGTAGATTACCGATCTACCCCATCCAAGGTAGTACCTTACAAGTGGCAACAGTCCGATTTGATTTGGATCGGCCAGTGCCAAATCGTGTACTTTAGTTGCTGACGCCATGCTACCGTATGGAACAGGTACCACCGAGGACGAGGCCTACCGATGCATTAAGTCGGAGATAGACTGGAAAGTCCAACAGGAGAAGAACAACTTCAGCTCCGTTCGGACCTGATTAGCAGTTTGCTTTGGGGCTGGTGGCTGGTTTGAAGATTCGATGGATCTTCTGATCATTCTGATTCTTGCGAATGACTTGGCTACTTGAACTTCGAGAGTATCTTTGGAGTGGGACTGAATGTCCCGCGAATAAACCTTGGACAATGAAGGATGAGGGTTGGCGAAACAATGGCGGTCCCCGCACTCTACGAGGCCTACGGGTACCAGAACCAATTGTGAGCGGTAGCTAGCTAGGCCACAAGGATGGAGATTTTGCTGTTGATTTTGTCCTTCCTTGCCTTGGTCCCGGTGTTGGACTGAAGCAAGTCATAACGTCAGTTCCTGTAGCTGCCAGTACGGTAGTTGCTTCGCTCGAGTCTGGTTGAACAAAAGTTCGATAAGCCACTACGCATTTCAGTCAAAGCAATAACACAAACACTTAAATAATAGGGTTAAACAGAACAGGAGACTCTAGCTAGCTAGTCAGTCTCAGGCCAAGCCAGAGTTCCTTGGAGGCATCTCGTCACTTCTACTTGAAGTCGCTTCGGACGACATTCTCCACATCAGCCTTAATGATGAGCTGCGGGTCAAAGTTGTCGTTTTCCTCGAATTGCGCCTGTCGCATGCGCTTTCGAACTTCAGTGCGGACCCCAGTCAGCAGCTGTTCGCTCACGCGACCATTGCGTTCACCACGCCATGCAACAGTGGTTTCTTCTTCCAACAGGGACGCGATGACGTTTTCTGTAAGCGTGTGATCCAACTCAAACCCTTTGGCGGTTGCCAGGTCCATAAAGATACGAGCCAACTCCAGACAGGAATAATCTGGAAACTCAAACGTCATGGGAAAGCATCTCCTCAAATCATCTTGAAAGGCCAAGAATGATTGCATCTCCAGCGGAAACCCGGCCATAATGATCAGAGGATGGGTCGTGTCCTGTGATTTGTTCTTGCCTTGCGGAGGGGTAAAGGCTTCCTCCATGCTTCGTACAATCTCACCAATGGCATGAGTTGCAAAGTCCAACTTGTTGCGTTTGCTCGCCATTCCCAGCGAGTAAGCCTCGTCAATAAAGAGGACACCGCCTCGGGCTTCGTCAATGACTTCACGAGTCTTGATAATGGTGGTTTCCTTGTCACGAGCCACCAAATCCATACGTTCCACTTCCAAGAATTTCGGCTTTCGCAACAGACCCAACTCATGGTAAACCTTGGCCAACAAACGAGCTACTGCCGTCTTTCCAGACCCCGGGTTTCCAACAAACACCATGGGCGATACACGTGGACGACCATTGTCTTCTGCCAAAGCGGGAGGCAACAGCGACAGAGTAGCAGCCACACGTCCAGGTCGAGCCATGGGAAGCAGCGATTCGCGCAAGTCACAAATTTCGGCCGTACGGCGCAACCCACGGACCTAAAGCAAGCAAGCAAGAAAGAAAGCAACGCTGTGAGCAGAACGGAGAGTACTTGTGTCATACATTGCACAAGACACCTACATGACTCTTGACATGCTCCAAGCTAACAATCGAAAACAATAAATCTTCCACGCGATCTCGAGGTGCTCCATTGGCACCGGTCGTGGCCAGTGATCGACTTTGGCTTCCATGTTCCGTCAACATGCGAGACGCCGTCGTGTTGGGAGCCATGACCAGGTTTCGCTTCTTGATGGCATCCAAGAGAATGTATTCCGCATGTTTGCTGTTGTCGGAATTTTTCATGGCCCCCGTCAGCGCCGTGGCAGCCTGTTGCTCCATGTGATTGGAAAAGGCAATTTCCAATTCATTGGGATCCAACCCGGCCGCATAGAGGGCATGAGGGAAGCGATCCGCCAAACGACGAACGGCTGCCAGGGCTAGTTTGAGATCAGTATCTTGTCGCCCACCCGTGTCTTGCATCCCTGCCAATTTCATTTCGAGCGTCTTGGCCCTGGCTTCGAACTTGTCTGCCTGCTGTCTACGGGACATTTCCGGCGGAGGCGGACGTCCTTCCAGCATGGCCACGACGGCCTCATTGGCGCCTTCATCTGCCAAAGCCAATTCAATGGGTGTCATGCCATCATCATTTTGTAAATGCAAGGCATCGGGATAGCTATCAATCAATAGTCGAACGACTTCTGGAGTCGCTTGATTGGACGCGGCCATGTGCAAGGGAAGAGATCCATATTGATTCCGCACGGTAGCTCCTTCGGGATAGCGCATGAGAAGTAGTTCTACAGTTTCCAGGGGTGCTTGCCACATGGCCGCTTGATGAATGGGTAGATTGCCCGCCGAGTTTGGTTGGGATGCTCCACCAGGATACGCCTTGAGCAATGATTCGACGACATCGGCACCGGCTTGGAAACTACAAGCAGCATGCAATGGGAGATTGCCACGTTCATTCAACCGAGATGCTTCTTCTGGAAATGAGGGGTGCTATTGAAAATGACAATAAGAATAAAAAATGACAAGGCAAATTGATGGTGAGCTGGACACAGAAGCCAAAGAGATATTTCAAAAAGCCCTCAGCAGCATGCGAGCAGTTTCAATTCATAGAAAATCCCAAGTCAAAGGCGCTTCATGGAGTGTGTGTGGCATGATGAAATTTTTGAAGGCGTGGCAAAGTCCCTTCCAGGTTTCTTGACATCCCTTGGCAAAACTAGCCAGGCAGCTCCTCCTCGGTATGAAATACAACATGAATTTTCGTCCAGTTCAAAGCAGTGGCGGCTGCGACTCCTTTTACAAGCTTCCGCTCTTCCAAGCAACCAATGGAGACTTGCAATGCAATGCTGCATTCGTTCATTCATTCCTTGGATCCTTGGACTTGGTTCCTCTACTCCAACGCCTTCTCGAGAAAACCCAACGCCTCACACTATAGTTGTCTCTTTGTCCACGGTGGTGACACCATCGTCCATAAAATTTGCTCCATGGGTAGAAGTAGACCACCCAGAGAAAGAAGAACCAAAAGCCACCAACAGTTGGACGAACCTACCTTGCTTCGACTGAGGAGAGCCCCAAACCCCTTACACAGATCATGGAGTGTCGTGTCGGCCATCGTTCCGCGCAGCTACTTTATAAAAAATGGAAGATGGGAAATCTGGGTTGTTGCCGTTTGACGACGAATTCAATTGGAAAGCTAAGAGTGACAACAAGAGATCGTCTGTCGCTTGCCAATCTATCAGCCTCTGCCGCACTAAATAACTATCTTTCAAGCCTATTCCTCTGCCAATGATCCTCCATCCACGCTGTGATGCTTTCTGTCGGTCCTCTTTTTCTCTCTCTTCGTGCATGCCACTCGGATGATGGCCTCCCAAGACAAACGCGTCGGAACGAAAGAGCGCGAGGTGTGACATGCGTGCTCAACGGTCCAATGTCGTGGGTATCCGTATGGAATCTACGTGTCTCAACCCTCGACTCTCGGGTTAAATACCATCCGATAATGGGCCGGCATGTGCGCCTCACAACAATGACACCAAGAACTCTCATCATCGCAATCCCCACTCACAACATCCTTCATCGTTAGAGCACCCTCGGTTAACATTTACTTGTTTGTTGCTGTTTGTTATACTACTACAAGATAACAACAACAACAACATGTCTGCCAAAGCATCCAGCCCCAAGGGAGGATCGGAAATCCATGATTTAGCCAAGGGATGGAAGGCGGCTATTGCTCGCGCCAAGGATCCGGCGACTCGTCACGAAGCACGCATCAAGAATGATCGTGGGAATTTGCCCTTGCATTCGGCAGCATCCTTTCGGGCTCCACTGGAAGTGACAGGTAGGATACTTGTGTCTTGTTATCAAATATGTGCTGCTTTTACTGATCTATTTCCCTTGCTATTACTGTTAATCTGCCTATAGAGTCTCTTTTGGAAGCCTACCCCGAAGCTGCGTCCATGACGAACAATTACGGCAATTTGGCACTTCATTTCACTGCCTGGAAGAAGGGACCCCTGGACGTGGAAAAACTCTTGCTCAAGATCTTTCCAGAAGGAGCGGCTCAAAAGAACAATCATGGCAATTTACCCCTTCATTATGCCGCCCACTACAATGCTCCCTTGGAAGTAGTAGAGGCGCTCTACCATGCATACCCCGAAGGAGCCACGCAAAAGAATAACGACAACAACACGCCTCTGGATTTGGCCATTGCCGATGGGGCATCCCCCAATGTCGTGGCATTGCTACAGGGAAAGAACATTCCCCCCACGGACGATGAAGTCTTGCAGGCGGCCAAGACACGCTGTGAACGCGCCGAAAAGGAACTATCGCGCATCTTGTCGGCACAAGACGGCATGCACGATGATTTGGAGGTCGTTCTCTCGCTACTCATGGATATTCGAGAAGGACATCCTCATGCACTCTATTCGGCCGGAATTCATCCCGCGCATATTGGTAATTTGGATGCTCTCTTGGAACAGGTATGTGGTCTTTTTATTGGTCGTCATCAGGGAGCATGCAGAAGTCACCATCTAATTCGCATTTTTCTATCTATTTTTGTAGGTCCGCAAGGCTGGTATGGAAGAAGCCGCTCGTGAGGGCGATGAATTTGCCTCCTCTCGCAATGTCTCGGACGAGGAAGTCGAAGCCCAAGTCATTGAAGATTCGCTCTGTCCACCAGATGATCCTGTCGAAGCTGTGCTGGCCAATGTGGTGGGGTTGGATACGGTCAAACATCAGATTCGTGGATTGCGCCGAACTTTGGAAATGCAAGCAGCTGCCAAAAATGGGACTTCCAGCATACTCATCAACAAACGCTTGGCGGGGGACCCCATTCCCAAGCATTTGGCATTTGTGGGAAATCCTGGTTGTGGAAAACGAACTTTGGCGCGGTTGCTGGGTCCAATGTTTTATGACATGGGCATGGTTCGAAATCGAACCTTTGTCGAGATTAGTGGACGGGATGAGTTGATTGATCGCAAGAGTGAAGCACGGACTGTATTCAAGACGCGTCAAATCTTGGAACAAGCTGCCGGAGGAGTCCTACTCATCAATGAAGCCTACACCTTTTTGCCATCGAGTGCTCGTCCGCGTGGTCGTGATCATGGGGCCGCTGCGTTGCGGGAAATTGCTCGCGCTCTGCCGGCTGCAGATCCCCTCATTATCTTGTCAGGAACTCCCATGGACTTGCAGCGTATTCTATCCAGTGATATTGGATTCAAGACGCACTTTTTGACGCGCGTGGAATTCCCCGATCCCTCACCCATTCAGATTGCCCGCATCTTTATGCATAAATTGACCGAGAAGGGACTCGTGCCGGCGGAAGGTGTGACCATTCCGTATCTGGCAGAACTCATCGGAACCAATACCGAAGCCGAATGGCGCTTGGAGCGCAATGGCATCATTGCGGATTTGCTCATGACGGGAGTTCGCAGTGAACTGAGGAAGCGAAAAATGTGGGACGATAGCACATCCAAGGCGAGCATGAGCCCCATGAAATTCTTGAGTCCAGGCTCCTCTCGCATCCCTGCGTTTGCGCCTGAAGAAGTGTTTGTCACTGTGGAGGACATTCAAAACGCGATTGTGAACGGCTTGTAAAGAGCATTGAAGCAAACATCGATTTGGGAGACTATTACGCGTAACGAAGATTAGTTTACTATATTTGAAGCCTTATTGCTATCATGTTACGAACACCAGGAGGTTGTTTCAAGTTGCAAGTAACCTTCGTCCCGTCATAGAAACTATAGACTGCACGAAACTGCACTTAAAAAAATGCAGTAGCTGTGGACTTCGGCAAAATCATGCACCTTAAATCTAGCTGCTCGGTCCCTTCTGGAGCAATGCCACATTTCCCTCCAAAATGCTACCTTCGAGGGATGGCTGTTGTTGATGTTGTTACAAATCAATAAGGTGACTTCTGATACTGAAGATAACAACAGCAATAGCAACCCCCCTCAGTTCTTCCCAGCCGACCTATCTAAGAAGTCAACTAAGGAGTTCTTCTTGCAACCATACTGGGATAAGGCACCGACTGGGCTCAAAGAAGCAGCAACTGAGTTTGGTTTGGAATTGAGCTCAGATGCCATTTTGACCAACTTTGATTAGAAAGGGAAGCACTCTACTAGATGTGGTAATCGAGTACTATCGGCATCAACAAGAGAACAATGAGAAGCTGTACAGAACTTTCTGTTCCTTTGGAATCATGTATCGGGACGATCCCTTTGCACCTCCTTACTGATTCTATTGAATCCTCCACCCAGAATGTACCAGCCGTGTGAGTGGAAACTATTGATTTGCTCCTCAGATTCAAGAGACTGCCTAGGGGAACCGCTCTAATGGAAAGTGATGGCCGCACTCAAGCCAAAGACATCTTCGGTAATCCTCTACCAGCAGAAGGTGGATGGAATGCCCCTAAGATTGAATGGATTCTCAGTGCCGCTATTAGTGATTTGCATGCATCAAGCCAACGGCCATGACCATGACTACCTAGATGAGTGTGAAGCATGCTTGGCTATTCCTGAAGTCGAGCAATATATGAGTTGTCGACACCACAGGAGTAACCCAAGACTCCATCGTACTAAGGGGAATCCAATCAAGAACCAGCTATACAGGAATTGCAAGAAGCAGTTTTGACAACTGCTCATCCATTGCGCCATAATAGATCATCACTGCTTGCAAAAGGGGCGCAAACAATGGAACTCTCGGCAGAGTCTGCCAGCCACACGAATTAGTGAGCCGGGAATCTTCCTCTGTAGTTGATTGTTGCATGAAGAGGACATGTCAATCAAGAGACCAAGTTCAAGTGCACAGATTATTCACCTCAAGGCCCAAAGGGATTGGTCCCAGCATGCAAGGCACGCTTTCACGGGCGATGGAGCAAACATGCAAACGGCAGAATTGGTTGTAGATTGTTGTGATGATGGCTAGATACTATTAATAGTTACCATACATGTATCATTTCCAAATCCTTCTCTGGTCTGTCAGAATTTTACCTCAACATGGTTGCCAATTGTTGAACATTTTGCCAGGTAGAATTTCTACTAGGTTGTACACAGAATTGTAAATCCAGGTCAAGCTGAGGAGACAAGCTCCTCCATCCGAAAGATCCACCCCTCGCGGCTACTACTGCAGCACTACTAGCTAGCTAGCTACATGTAGTACACCAACACATCCTCACCTCAGTACGAAGTAGTAACAAGACCAACACAATAGTGGGCACCATCGGTAGGACAAGCGCTTCAACTGGTTACGTTCCAGGAGACACACAATGCCATCCGCCACGCTGCTATTGGTTGAGGTGATCATTCGGCTACCCCAAATCTCCAGGTCTTCAATGGAGGTGTTGACTGATTGCATCTTGTGAAATGCTTCGAGAGCTAACTCGTTGGAGAAGATTGAGTAATCAGAAGGGTCTTTGATGCTCAAGGAGGTACCGGTAACTGGAACACTCCCGATAAAGTAGGAATACCGATTACAGCCCCATTATACAGTGGCTTCTCACAAATGTCGTAAATGTCGTAAATGTCGTAAGAAATGTCGTAAACATCTTACGACATTTACGACATTCTACGACATCGCTTAAATAGTTACGACATTCTACAACATTCTACGACATCGCCAAATGTCGGAAGCTTTCCGGTCATCGCCTAATCCGACATTTGGCAAGAGACTCGGAACTTTAAGTGTTCCGTATGAAACGATTCAACAACCAATCCAAAAAGGCTTATTGATTTGTTTTGAGAATCAGCGATATAGTCTTTCGCTAAATGTCGGAAATGTCGGATTTAGCGATTCAAGAAAGTTTACGACATTCTACGACATTCTACGACATCGCTTAAATAAATACGACATTATACGACATCGATATCGGAATTTACGACATTTACGACATTTACGACATTTACGACATTTAAAAGTCCCTTTGAAAAAAGACTTATGCTTTCAATATATTGACATATTGACGTGTTAACCTCTCTACGACTTTTCCGGGAGTGTTCCAGCATCTTGAGGTATTCCACTCAAATTGAGTCTTTTCTCCTTTTTTCAAAAACATTTTCTTCAAAAATATGTTCCCCAGACTGAAAAGGAAACAGCCTATTTAAGCTGACCAATCTGAATCTGAATTTTAAGAGCCTGGTTAGGCTCTTAAAATTACAACAGGCTCTTAGAATTCAGATCTGAAAAACCAGATTGAATATCTAGCTAATTTACACTGGGATCTGAGTTTTCAATTTTCCAATCTTAATTCTAAGAGCCAAAATAGGCTCTAAAAGGCTCTGAGAATTCAGATTCAGATTATTCAACTTCAACAGGCCTTGTGGAGTCCTGCATGTCTCTTTGCTTCATTTTACATTTTCTGAACAATTAAACTTTGAGCTTTTTCTTCCATTTGGAGGAAATTACCCCAAGGTGCAGAAGTGTTGGTTTCAAGTTTCAAGGCACCGCATGGATGCAATCCAGGCACTGGGAACCCACGGGGCATCGATCCGCAAAGCCGTTATTTCCGGGAGGACGAAGGGCAGGGTTCGCACCTTAACACGGCAAAGGTAGCTGTTTGCTTCAATGTCCAGACAATCTATTTTTGGGTTGACGTTTCTGGCAATGATATCGCCAACCAAGGCAGCATTGGAAATGGATGGCTCTCCCAGAAGATGCTCCAGAACGTCCGCATCCACAGGCGGGCCAGCCGCCAAAAGAGCAAGGCACTCAACCGTCGTGACATTGGGCCATCTCATCAGGCGGCGAATGGGTAAATTGCTTTTGCAAAATGACTCGGCAGAAGCAGCTTTTGGGTACAATGAGACAAGTAGCGGTATGATGGCGGCTGACTGGTAAGATCTCGAATATGACTGGTAATATCTCGAAGCACAGGCGATGTGAAGAGGCAACAGACCAGTTTGGGTTCCTTTGGGGTCTGTTCGAGAGCAATCAAACCGACACCCATCATTGTTGGCAACAGCGCTCGGGAATGCCTCACAGAACGATTTGATTGTCCGTTCGATAAGAAGCTTGTCTTTCCAACAAGAAATGCAAAGGACTATATGAATTGTTGTTGCTGCTCGAGCCCACGCAAGATGGTGTCCGAAAGCGCTCTGAAACCAGACAAGGATGAGCTATACACAGGTCAAGGATTTTCTTTTCATTGTTATCGCCAACAGTCTGGCCACTTTCCTTCGAGAATATACGACCCATTCGCATCCTGGCGAGTGCCAATGAGGGGGACGGTAACTTAGGCATTGCAGAGGTGCTTGATATATGTGATCGTTGTTGGAAGGGACAAGTTCTCACTCCCAATGGAATCGTGCTTGGGCACGACTGGCTACAGTCGTACCGTATGGCCAAGGGCACAAGAGGGTTCGCTAACCAATCAATTATGCACTGGTTACTGGTTATTGGTTATTCAACCACTCAATTGGGGGTACTGGTTACTGGTTATTGGTTATATAACCACTCAAGCTAAGGTACTGGTTACTGGTTATTGGTTATTTGGCATTGGTTATAGGT